TTTTTTTTTTTTTTTTTTTTTTTTGGTGAATTCTAAGCCAATTTGAACGAAATCCTAAGGCAAAATCAGACTATTTCCAGTGATAATTAAAATCTGAGCTCCTTTCCGGTAATGAAGAAAATGCAGAGATGAAGGAGCGAAAAAGCTTAACACCAGCAGTGAAGGAAACAGATTCAGAATCCCAAGAAGGGTAGGAAGATGACCGGGAAGATTTTTTGACCTAATTAAGTAAGGTGAGGCGAGAAGAGAATGATTTTTTGGAGTGTGAAATTTTGACCTAATTAAGTTTTTTTTCTCTTTATTTTTACAATATACTTAGCGATGTGATCGTGATGTTAATGCTAAAATCAACATTTTAACGATACACAACTAGCACATCACTATAACTTTTTAGTGATGTTGATTTTCATGGCAAGTTAATAATAGTTTTCTTTGCATGTCACTACGATCCAGCCACAAAAAGGAAGGTACAACTTATTCGCATCGGATTCAAATATGATTTTGGTTCATTTCATTTATGTACATCTTTTTACTCAACCAAACTTTTTACATCTCAATTATTAAAAACGTCGAACACTAATAAAAACAAATGACATACCATTAACAAAATAACGCGTCGTTCACATGCATAAACACAAATCATAAAAGTTTATCCTTAGAGCATGTGGTAGTTTGGAACATTGAATTATTGAACAAAGTTTGAGAAGAATAAGGTGATATTAATTAGAGCCGACATTGATTTGTTAATTGTTGTAATAATTTATTATGTTTCCCTAAAGAAAAGTAGAGAGAATAAAAATTAAAGGGAGAGAAGGAAAAGGCCATCACTTTCATTCCCTCTTTCCCCAACTCCCATTTGGACCTATTTTTCAAACATACCATTAATTTTGAATATGACTTCACATTTCAATCTATATATTATGGCCACCCATAACATATCTTTTTTAATTACTCAAACTTTATTTCATTTCAAAATATAATTACTAAACTAGTTTATATATATACATATTTATTTGTGTTATGGGCCACAAACAGCATTAAAAAAGGGGAGACACGCCTTTAATGGACATATATTTTACCTTGTTCAATGATCTAAAATGGTAAAATAGTTTCTTACAAAAAAATGTAGAATGGTAAAAAGTAAAAAGATAAAAAAGATTGGTATAAAGTAAAATGTAATTTAGATATTAATTACGATGAGAGGGGATGGAAGGGAAAGTATATGTTAATTATGATATGAGTTAGTTTTTGGTTATGCCATAAATAGTGTAACACATCAATCTTCATATTTTGTCACCTAATTACAAAAGGGACATCAATTTTCCATTCACATGGCTAACAAAACTCAATAACTAAATATATATATAAAATAAAATATATTTTTAAAATTTTTACGCCTTTAGTTTGGTATTTATAAGCTCTTAAAATTTTGAAAGTGTTTAATGCGGTAACGCATTATGTCATGGTTTGAAATTTGAATTGACACCTAATGGTCTGATATTCTCGTATGACATAAATTGTGTTACCTATTTGTCTTCAACATAGACTATAATGGCAGTTACATAAAAGAATTCCCCATCCATATCTCTACCCACTTTACAATCCCTCATCACTCGCGTCCATTCTCCAAGCTTCCTAAATCTCAACCAACTCCCCTACAAGAATAAGGGAAACGTAGTCTAGTACTCTCGTATTTTCATTTACGGTAAAGAATTCTTCTTCCAACTAAAAGACGATCATCGGTGGATACTTGCTAGTCTTCTCAACAATGCGTAGATTTGGTCAGTAGCAAAGCATCTTGTTGGGAGTACTCATTCGGTGAGTCGAATTCCTAAACTCTACTTTTTTTTTCTTTTTTTTTTTTTATTCCGTTGATTTAATTTCATTTATATTGGATGAGCTAGAAAAAAAAAATACTGAAATTTCAGGTGTATTTTAGAAAAAATTTGTCTCAAATTCGTTAAAAAATGGGTCAAAATTGGCCAAAAATCGACCGGAGAGAAAACACCGAATAAAGGAAAAAAAGGTATGATTTGATAATCAAGTAGGCTAAATACTGGAGCAACATCTGAACTAGAGCTTCGAAAGAGAGAATCCAAACCAAGTAGGTTTGGACGCCAAAAACTTCACATGCAGCACTGAGGTCCCCACCTAATCAGGACTCGACTCGATCCAACCCACAACCCAGACCAATCCAAGTACTTGACTCGATCCCGTCTATATCCAACTTGGGCATACTCAAGCTATCCTGAAACTCAACTCGATCCCCACCTCAATCCACGTACTCAACCAACCAAACACCCTTTCGATTCATTTGTGTTGCTTCCTCACATGTGGCTCAACCGTGGCTCGCACTCTAGCCAGTTCCCAATGATCGGCTACTCGACTTCGCAGCTCCAACCTCTTGGATTGAGATCCCAAGACCCATGCCAAACATTTTGGACCGTTTCTAGTTTCAAGAATAAGTAGTAACTCCAGCCTAGACTTAAACAAGTAAGAGACTTTACAGTTGGTTGGTTGAATATGACTTGATTATTTTATGAACGACGTGTGCATTGATACCCCTAAACATGTTATGTGACCTAAGTTATATTATAATATAAAGTATGTCATGTAACGATTGATTATATTATGATATCGACGTTGTATGATACATAAACCTCCGTATGCATTGGAAAAGCAATTAGGCCTCAGAAATTAATGGGAGAATGGGAGAAAAAGAAAGAGGTAGAAGTTATGGGAACACAGTTGGTGGCAACAAAATCTGATGCCTTTCCTTTTCCTCTCTTATTTCACAAAACGTCTTCACACCCTAAGAGGCCTCAACTACCCACTGCAAAACTCTGTTCCTTTGTCCCCTCTTTTATGTCTCCTCATAAAAAGATACCTAAAGATATTTCCTTCCATCCCCTTTTCTTCTATGTTTATATGCATATATCACTCTCCTTCTTCACGGGCTCCTTTCTTTACTTTCCGACCATTATCGTTCTTCGTCCAAACGCCTAACTTAAGAAATACTCGAAATTGAATCGTAACGAATCATAGACGAGATTAAGAAAACAATAATTAATAATTAAATAGTGATTTGTTATGGTTGGTCCGACCAACAACTTTATTTGGGGAGCCTAAGTGTTCAAAGTGATGGGTCATTTTCAGTGACCGACAGCAACAAGATTTTGCAAAAAGTTGAGTCACTTTCTAAATAGTGATGCATCTCTAAAATCAAATTGAGTAATTTTATTTTGTAAGCTTTCCATGCATGCAAATCTCTCATCCCAATACTCTCTCTTACCTCAACTTCTATTTAAATCTTCCTTTCTTTTTCTTATCTCGATAATTTTACACGATTAAATGTATGTGATTATAAGAACAAATATACACGGTTCCAAGCATAGTAGGGGTTGAATTATGATTACCACCAAAAACTCTCCGCCATGCATGGAAATTCAACTACTTTTCCTTTGACTCTTCAACCACCAAAGTTGAAACCCAACTCCCCCCCCCCCCCTTTTTTTTTT